AGGCCCAACAAGAATTGCAACCTCTCCTCCTGGATCGACGGCTGCGAGCCCGGCTGGGCCTGCAGCGCCGGCCAGCAGAAGGTCGACCTCCAGGACGCCAAGGACATCCCCTACCGCGCCGACGACTGCCAGGCCTGCTGCCCTGGCTTCTTCTGCCCCCATGCCCTCACCTGCATGATACGTAAGTTAGCTCCCATCAACCCATGCCAACATCACTCAGAAAAAGAACACCACTGTTTTTCAGCAAACTTTTTTCCATTTCCGAGTTGATCAGAATGAAGCCAAATTGAATATGTTTCAGGATATATGCAGTTATGCTAACTCAAATGCAAACGGAAAGGAAATTGCTATTTGATTTTTTTATTGGGAGGAAATTGTTATACTGATGATTTCTCTCTGTCTTAATTCTGCCATGTACAGCTTGCCCTCTTGGAGCATACTGCCCACTGTCCACCCTGAACAAGACTACGGGCATCTGCGACCCGTAAGTCGGCTGCCCCCGCAACTTCTAAAATTCCAGAGCAAGTATGATAGTTTCATCATCATTCCTTGATGCTGAAGATGCATTCCAGATACAACTACCAACCGCCTGCCGGGAACCCAAACCACACCTGTGGCAGTGCTGACAACTGGGCAGATGTGATGAGCACCGACGACGTTTTCTGCCCGGCTGGATTCTACTGCCCGAGCACGACCCAGAAGCTCCCTTGTAGTAGTGGGTAATCCTATCTATCTGATGTTTCAAAGTTGTAGTTCCATCACAACCGTTGATCGCAATCATATACCCTGCACCAGTGGTATATTTAGTGGGCATGTTCTTCCCGCGGTCGATTGCTTGCTCGGGTGTTTATCTGTTCAGATGCTGAGAGAATCAGGTGTGCCTTTGCAGGTATTACTGCAGGAAGGGATCGACTTCGCAAACCAGTAAGCTCAACTACTTCTCATTGCAGAGGAGTTGGAATCCATACCCTCCGCAGCCTTCTTGATCTGTGCGCGTCCTGAATGTGGCCTTCTTTCTTCTTCCCTGCAGGATGCTACAAGAAGAGCGCATGTCCGCCAAACTCTGTTAATCAGGACATCACGATCTTCGGCATGTTGCTAGTGGTAATGCCACTAAGCGAACCGATATCATGGTTATTATCCTTTTGGAAGCCGCAGCTGCTTTGGTCGAACTAACACTTGTCTTCTGTTCTTTTCCGCGGCTCCGCAGATTGCCTCTTGTCTAGTCCTTCTGATCATCTACAATTTCTCCGGCCAACTTCTGACCAACCGTGAGAAAAAGCAAGCAAAATCTCGAGAGGCTGCTGCGAGGTATGCGAAAGAGACGGCGCAGGCTCGCGAGAGGTGGAAAACAGCTAGAGAAGTCGCCAAGAAGGCCAGCACTGGCCTTCAGTCACAACTGTCTCGCACCTTCTCGCGCAAGCAGAAGCCGGGACAGCCAGGGGGGATGTCATCGAAAGGCCTGCCTCCGGTTGGGACGGATGGGGCTGGTAAAAAGGAAAGCCTCCCCGACATGATGAGCTCCCTCGAGGAGAACCCAGACGGGCCCGAAGGATTCAATATGGAAATAGGAGACAAGACCGGCAAGAAGCCGAAAGGGAAGCAGATGCACAGCCGGAGCCAGATTTTCAAGTATGCATACGGTCAAATCGAGAAGGAAAAGGCAATTCAACAGGAGATGGAGGAGAACGATAACAACATGACTTTGTCTGGTGTGGTAAGCATGGCCAAAGAGCACGAGGTCGGTTCGAGAATGCCCATCGAGGTCGCGTTCAAGGACCTAACTCTGACGCTGACGGGGAGCAAGAAGAAGATCTTGAGGTCCGTGACAGGAAAGCTCATGCCTGGCCGCGTAGCTGCGGTCATGGGCCCATCTGGTGCTGGCAAGACCACATTTCTGAGTGCTGTCGCCGGCAAGGCAACTGGTTGTGACACATCAGGCTTGGTGCTCATCAATGGTAAAGTTGAGCCGATCCGTGCGTACAAGAGGATTATCGGCTTTGTTCCCCAAGATGACATTGTCCATGGCAACCTAACCGTTGAAGAAAATCTCTGGTTCAATGCAAGATGCAGGTATTTGCCCAAGTAGAGTTAGCCATCTCTCTACCTTTTCAGCTAACACAAGTGAACTTACTGTATGTTGTTGAATCTCAGGCTTGCAGCAGACATGTCGAAAGCCGAAAAGGTTCTCGTCGTGGAGAGGGTCATTGAGTCTTTGGGGCTGCAGCCAGTTCGAGATTCTCTGGTCGGGACGGTGGAGCAGCGTGGCATCTCCGGTGGCCAGCGCAAGAGAGTCAACGTCGGTGTAGAAATGGTCATGGAACCTTCGGTGTTGATCTTAGATGAGCCGACTTCAGGGTTGGATAGTGCATCCTCCCTGCTGCTTCTCCGCGCCCTTCGCCGGGAAGCTCTCGAAGGCGTCAACATCTCCATGGTGGTTCATCAGCCTAGGTTTGCTTCCAACCTCAAATGCAGAACGGTATATGTTTGCCTCATCGCCTACACTTCTCCCTGACTAAAACAAAGCCCTTTGCCGTCTCAGCTACACGCTGTACAGAATGTTTGATGACTTGATACTTCTCGCCAAAGGGGGGATGACCGTCTACCACGGTCCGGTAAAGAAGGTGGAAGAATACTTCTCAGGGCTGGGCATTGTCGTGCCGGATCGCGTGAACCCACCCGACTACTACATCGACATCTTGGAGGGCATCGTGAAGCCAAACATGAGCGCGGGCGTAACCGTTAAGGACCTGCCGCTCAGATGGATGGTGCACAACGGCTATGACGTTCCACGGGACATGCTGCAGAGCACCTCCGGATCCGAATCTTCGTCCAGAGGAGGCGCAGACGCTTCTTCTCCTGGCGCGGACGCAAGCCCATCCTTTCTATCAGAAATGTGGGCCAATATCAAGGACACCATCATGCAGAAGAAGGATGAGTTCGACTATAACAAGTCAACCTTAGATCTGTCAAACCGCAACACTCCCGGCATCCTTAGGCAGTACAGGTACTTCCTGGGAAGGTAAGGTCTCTCTCATCTGTGTATCGACGATCTCATTTCCTGGGGAATTCTTCTCCAGTTCATCTCGGTGTTTATGTTTATGTCTTCAGGGTTGGCAAGCAGAGGCTCCGGGAAGCAAGGATACTGGCTGTCGACTACCTGATACTCTGCCTTGCTGGGATATGCCTGGGGACGCTGGCCAAAGTGAGCGACGAAACGTTTGGAGCGCTTGGGTACACTTACACTGTCATCGCCGTCTGTAAGTCTGGCCTGCCTTCTCTTCCTCTCGAGCAAGCCCTGAATCTGCATATCTAGCTGACCTGTTCTCGAGGTTCACTCATGCCAAGCTGCGTGCATGACGCAGCCCTGCTTTGCAAAATCGGAGCCCTAAGATCGTTCGCCCTGGACAAGATATACTACTGGAGGGAACGGGCCTCGGGGATGAGCTCACTGGCCTACTTCATGGCCAAGGACACCATCGACCACTTCAACACCATCGTCAAGCCCATCGTCTACCTCTCCATGTTCTACTTCTTCAACAACCCCAGGTCGTCCATCTGGGAGAACTATGTCGTCCTCGTCGCGCTTGTGTACTGCGTCACGGGCATCGGCTACACCTTCGCCATCTTCTTCCAGCCAGGCTCCGCACAACTGGTACTGAAACATGCTGTCATTCCTCAATGGTATCTTGATGACCATGAAATCAAAAAAAGCTCTTGACACTCCCTTGTAGATTGCTCATCATTGCTCATGATACATGCTTTTGTTTGCAGTGGTCTGCACTGCTCCCAGTCGTTCTCACCTTGATAGCTACTCAGCAGAAGGACACTATCATAGCTGATCTTTGCTACACAAAGTGGGCTCTGGAGGCGTTCGTGATCGCCAACGCTCACAAGTGCGTATGCCTCCCATCAAATTCCTCCCTGACATAAATGAGCTCGCAAGTAAAATTGTCTCTGACCAAACACCCGATTGCTCGTTCGTGGTTGCAGCTACACTGGGGTGTGGTTGATAACACGGTGCGGCTCTCTGCAAAGTAACGGCTACGACATCAGCAACAGGAGTCTCTGTTTATGGGTCCTCGTGGCCAACGGGGTGATCTTCCGCTGCGTAGCCTTCTTCTGCATGGTAGTCTTCCAGAAGCACTGACCCCTCTGTCGATAGATCCGTTCATCGATTCTTTCTTTCTCTGCGTAACAGAAAAATGTACAATTGTTAGAGCTTTCTGTCTTTCACAGCATGCATGAGGTGTAGATAAGAACAACAGATTTACCTTTTTGTTGTTGTGGAGATGTAAAGAGCAGGATGTTGAGTAGCAGGCAGCTGGTCAGGAATGCCCTAATTTTTATGTAGAGGCGTTATCCATTTTCAGATTAGCTGATGATAGCACATGTCAGAGGAACACTTCACTTGTTGCCTTCAGCCAGTGTAACATTTGAGGTGCAAATGTCTAATTGTTTCTGGCTGTACTGTACTACATGGTCAGGATTTGTAGCTCTATTCAGCGGTAACCATTCATCATCATACTTGCACATAAAAAAAAGGACACAATATTCCAGTTAAACTAGAGGTTCAGAAGGTCACATCTCAACATCTTTATTCTCTCGATCGGAAACATGCTTGGGCAAGAAAGGAAAAAGCACAAAATACTAGAGTGTGGGTAGTCCACTACAGAAAATTCACTTCACTATTGCAGCTTTAATCTACTCCCTCCGTTCCTAAATAATTGTCTTTCTAGAGATTTCAACAAGTGACTACATACGGAGCAAAATGAATGAATCTACACTCTAAAACATGTCTACATACATCCGTATGTTGTAGTCCATTTGAGATGGCTAGAAAGACAATTATTTAGGAACGGAGGGAGTAGAACTTAGCAGCTTGTACTCCACTTGAAAAGCCATGAAACTGAGCGAATAACTCGCAAAGTTTCGGTAAGGAGGTGACAGTTTTATAGCTGCTGCTGGAGCAGAAGGCCAAGATATTACAGCAGTAAGGCCTAATTTTCACCAGAAGGTTCCTTGGATTTGACCTGAGACCCGGCCAAGTCCTCCAGGGTGAAGCTGAGAGTATCCGTGTCGCCTTTCTTCACGTCCTGCCCCTGCTCCGCCAGGAAGTCCTCGATGCTCCCCGGCTGGCCAAACCAGCCGAGCCTGTCGGCCATCAGGTGCAGGTTGTTGCAGCCGCCGCAGCGGGCGACCACCACCCCGTTGTCGTACGAGTCCCGGCTGGCCATCTTCACGGACCTCGTCTCGCAGACCTTACACGTGAAGATCATCGCCATGTCGTGCCTCGGCGAGATCTTCAGGGTCGACGCGTCCCTGACCTTGAAGCTCGACTCCGCTGCCGCAGGGACCGAAGCTGGCGGCGGCGGCGGGGTGCCGGTCTTGTGATCCTCCGGGTCATGGCGACGCTCATTCGACACGTTGCTGCTCGCGTCGATGATTGTCTGGAGGGACCTCAAGCCTGCGGTCGCAATAGAAGGGAGGAAAATTCCTGCAATGACGAGAGTATCCGGTTGGCCGTTAGCTCATCCGCGTCGCAGAAGTAAAAACATGTGACACACACATGATGAAATGAAACAAAGAGTCCTTCAGCTCATTTGCATTGCAGAAGTAAAAAACATGTGACACACACAAGATCAAATGAGAAAAAGAATGCTTCAGCTTATTTGCCAATCTTGCAGGAACTGTGAATTTCCCCACAGAGAAAACATGATCCAGCTTCAGCTTCAGCTCCAGTTGGCTGTTAGCTCAGTGGTGTTGCTGGAGTGCAAACAGCTGACATGCATACATACATATGATAAAATGATGAACGCTTCAGCTACTCATTTGCCAATCTTGCAGCAACTACGAATTCATTCCCCACAGAGAAACATGAACTGACTGAGACTATGAGTATGATTGTCGGCCGCCTACGATTTACAGCATCCTAAGCCATCAATCATTTGAACACAGCGTAAAGAAAAGAGAGCATGGCCTGTCTAAATTAGATCAAATTTCTACTAGTACACAGTGCTAGGATGATACACAGGGAATTTCAGCTACCACCGGCGCCCACAATCCACGCGACGCGACCTAAATAAATCCCAATCGAATCAAACCCCGCGACAGGACCATTCACGGCGGGGGCTCACAGCATCAACCAAAACCAAGCACACCTGAATCCCGACCACCGGGGCCGCGGCATCCCGAGCAATCGACCCGAGGACAAAGCGCTCGGATTTAAGCGGCGGGGACCAAGAAGGGGGAGGGGAGGAAGGCGGGGCTCACCGCGGGAAGAGGGGGCGGACGGCTGGGACAGGGCCGCGATGATGCGGCGGCCCGCCAGCGGCAGAAACCGGCCGGCGGCCATGGCGTGTCGGCCGGCGACGGAGGGGAAGCGCGTCTTCTTCTTCTTGCCGGCGAAGAAAGAAAGAGGCGAGCGGAGCAGAGGACAGACAGAGGAGAGGAGGCAGCCTCTCTGCTCGGCTCTTCTTACCGTGCCCCGGGACGTACATGGGCCTCGCGAGGCTTTGGTCTGGGGGTGTATAGTATATGGGCCTCACGAAGCCCAAGCCGTGTGGGCCCTCGACAGGCCGGCCTGTGCTCGCTCTCTGGAAGCCGTGGGAGGAAACCGAGAAAGAGGGAATGGGAGCTCCTAACTGGCCGCCGAACGAAACCGGCGCTCACGCGCTCCCTGGCGTGGGCCAGCCCATCTATTTATTTCCTGTTTTCCATATATTTATTTCTCCGGTTTGAATTAGCACGCACAAACCAACCTGCCACCAGTTCTCACACGAAAATTCTAACATCGTTACCTTCTTTACTTCTTTTCACTTTTCTTTTTTTCTTTTTTCGTTTTTCTTCTTCCTGGTTCCACGGTTTTATTTTAATTCTTGATTTTTTTTCACAATTGATGAACTATTTCTCAATTTGGTAAATTTATATTCACCGTGTATTATATAAAATTTCATTGTATTAAGAAAAAAAATGTTCATTGTATATTACGAAAATTGTTCACCTTTGCATATAAAAATGTTCATCGTGTATTATAAAAATGTTCATCGTATATTATGAAATTTTCCAACATTTTTACTAAATGTTGAATGCGTAAATTGTTCAAAACATATATTCATGTTGTTTCAAAAATGTTCATCGTGTATTATTTAAAATGTTCAATGGATATAAAAAATGTTCAGGATTTTTTTTTCTATTTTGGTTTTGGTTATTCAATGAGTATACAATTGTTCACTATGTTTCTTGATTTTGTTCAGTATATATTACACAATGTTCAATGTGTATTCGCAAATTGTTCAACGTATTTTCACAAATGTTCAGTATGTGTCCGAAAATTCTTCAGCGCATATATTCCTATTTTTTAAAAGTGTTCATGGTATGTTAAAATAAGTTCATCTGTATTATTTAAAATATTCAGCTTATTTTAAGAAAATGTCAACGGATATCGCAAAATGTTCAACGGATATTACAGAAAACAATTTCATGCATTTTTTGAGAAAAGGTACAGAGAAAAAAAGAAAAAAAAAGACGAATACAGAAGAAAAGAAGAAAGAGCAAAGAAGACAGTAGGAAAAAACGATGGAACCAGTCACACTAGATGAGGGTGGCTGGTTGGTCGCTGCATTCACGCTAAACAAAGGAAGTCTTGTGTTCGAATCCCACCTCTCTAGCGAACTTTTTGCTGATAGAAAAAAGTAAAGGAAATGGGCCGGCCCAGCGGGGAGAGGGGGGTGTGCGCCCTGTACGGGTTGGCCTTTAAGGGGCGCTTAAGGCGCCGTTTAGGAAATGCCAAATTTCTTATTGGACGCTCATTGCGTCAAAGTGTCCCCGTTTCGGACACACTTGGCGATCGAGCGATGTCATGGGCCGGACCATTTAACGTGTTTGCAGCGTTTCTGGTTTTGGGAACCTTCTAGAGTTTTCCAGGCATTTTTTGGAATTTTCTAGAAGGTTCCTGAACCGGCTTTTTCTTTTTTAGTTTATTTTTTGTTTTTCTTTTTTCTATTTCTCTTCTTTTTCGTTTTTTCTTTTCTTTTTTTTGTTTCTTTCTTTTTCCTTTTTTGTTTTCCTTTTCTTATTTTCAAGTTTTTTCCTTTCAATTTTTTGGAAATATCAAATATTATAAAGATTTTTAAAAAATGTCCCTGGTTTTCAAAATTTGTTCACAAATTCGAAAAATGTTCGTGGTTTACATTTTTTTTCGAATTACAAAAAATGTTCCTGTTTTTCAAATTTTGTTCAAAAATTCAAAAAATGTTCCCGTTTTTCAAACTTTGTTCACAAATTCGAAAAAAGTTCGTGGTTTCAAAAATTTTGTTTCGAATTTCAAAAAAATGTTCCTGTTTTACTAATTTTGTTCACAAATTCAAAAAATGTTCGGGAGTTTCAAAAAATGTTCAGAATTTCAAAAAAGATTTTTGCTCGCGAGGCTTTGGTCCGGGTGTGTATAGTATATGGTGTTGGAAATATGCTCTAGAGGCAATAATAAATTAGTTATTATTATTATATTTCCTTGTTCATGATAATCGTTTATTATCCATGCTATAATTGTATTGATAGGAAACTAGTAAGCCTCTAGTTGACTAGCTCGTTGATCAATAGATGGTTACGGTTTCCTGACCATAGACATTGGATGTCGTTGATAACGGGATCACATCATTAGGAGAATGATATGATGGACAAGACCCAATCCTAAGCCTAGCACAAAGATCGTGTAGTTTGTATGCTAAAGCTTTTCTAATGTCAAGTATCATTTCCTTAGACCATGAGATTGTGCAACTCCCGGATACCGTAGGAATGCTTTGGGTGTACCAAACGTCACAACGTAACTGGGTGGCTATAAAGGTGCACTACGGGTATCTCCGAAAGTGTCTGTTGGGTTGGCACGAATCAAGACTGGGATTTGTCACTCCGTGTGACGGAGAGGTATCTCTGGGCCCACTCGGTAGGACATCATCATATGCGCAATGTGACCAAGGAGTTGATCATGGGATGATGTGTTACGGAACGAGTAAAGAGACTTGCCGGTAACGAGATTGAACAAGGTATCGAGATACCGACGATCGAATCTCGGGCAAGTACTATACCGGTAGACAAAGGGAATTGAATACGGGATTGATTGAATCCTTGACATCGTGGTTCATCCGATGAGATCATCATGGAACATGTGGGAGCCAACATGGGTATCCAGATCCCGCTGTTGGTTATTGACCGGAGAGTTGTCTCGGGCATGTCTGCATGGTTCCCGAACCCGTAGGGTCTACACACTTAAGGTTCGATGACACTAGGGTTATAGGGAATAGATGTATGCGGTTACCGAATGTTGTTCGGAGTCCCGGATGAGATCCCAGACATCACGTGGAGTTCCGGAATGGTTTGGAGGTAAAGATTTATATATGGGAAGTCCCGTTTTGGTGACCGGAAAAGTTTTGAGTACTATCGGTAACGTACCGGGACCACCGGGAGGGTCCCGGGGGTCCACCAAGTGGGGCCACCAGCCCCAGAAGGCTGCATGGGCCAAGTGTGGGAGGGGACCAGCCCCAGGTGGGCTGGTGCGCCCCCCCACCAAGGCCCTAGGCGCAGGGAGAGTGGGAAGGGGGCAAACCCTAGGTCCTGATGGGCCTTAAGGCCCACCCTAGGTGCGCCCCTCTCTCTTCCCCCCTTGGCCGCACCCTACATGGGTTTTGGGGGCTGCCACCACCCCTAGGGAGGGAACCCTAGATGGGGGCGCAGCCTGATACGTCCATTTTGCATCATGCTTTTATGTCGATATTTATTGCATTATGGGCTGTTATTTCACGTTATGTCATAATACTTATGGCTATTCTCTCTTATTTTACAAGGTTTACATGAAGAGGGAGAATGCCGGCAGCTGGAATTCTGGGCTGGAAAAGGAGCAAATATTGAAGGACTATTCTGCGCAACTCCAAAAGTCCTGAAACTCCACGGAATACCTTAGAATAAATAAAGAAAAATCATCGCCAAAGATGAAGGCCAGGGGGCCCATACCCTGCTCACGAGGGTGGGGGGCGCCCCCTGGGCACGCCCCCTACCTCGTGGGCCCCCTGGTGGCTCTCCGACACCCATCTTCTCCCATATGAAGTCTTTCGATGAGAAAAAAATAGAGGAGAACCTTTCGGGACGAGACTCCGCCGCCACGAGGCGGAACCTTGGCGGAAACAATCTAGGGCTCCGACAGAGCTGTTCTGCCGGGGACACTTCCCTCCGGGAGGGGGAAATCATCACCATCATCATCACCAACGCTCCTCTCATCGGGAGAGGGCAATCTCCATCAACATCTTCACCAGCACCATCTCATCTCCAAACCCTAGTTCATCTCTTGTATCCAATTCTTGTCTCCAAGTCCGGGATTGGTGCTAGTAGGAGTAGTGTTGATTACTCCTTGTAGTTGATGCTAGTTGGTTTATTTGGTGGAAGATCATATGTTCAGATCCTTTATGCACAATATTACCCCTCTGATTATGAACATGAATATGCTTTGTGAGTAGTTACGTTTGTTCCTGAGGACAAGGGAGAAGTCTTGCTATTAGTAGTCATGTGAATTTGGTATTCGTTCGATATTTTGATAAGATGTATGTTGTCTAACCTCTAGTGGTGTTATGTGAATGTCGAATACATAACACTTCACCATTATTTGGGCCTAGAGGAAGGCATGGGGAAGTAATAAGTAGATGATGGGTTGCTAGAGTGACAGAAGCTTAAACCCTAGTTTATGCGTTGCTTCGTAAGGGGCTGATTTGGATCCATATGTTTCATGCTATGGTTAGGTTTACCTTAATACTTTTGTTGTAGTTGCGGATGCTTGCAATAGAGGTTAATCATAAGTGGGATGCTTGTCCAAGTAAGGGCAGTGCCCAAGCACCGGTCCACCCACATATCAAATTATCAAAGTACCGAACGCGAATCATATGAGCGTGATGAAAACTAGCTTGACGATATTCCCATGTGTCCTCGGAAGCGCTTTTCCTATTATAAGAGTTTGTCCAGGCTTGTCCTTTGCTACAAAAAGGATTGGGCCACCTTGCTGCACTTTATTTAATTTTTCTACTTGTTGCTTGTTACCATTTATCTTATCACAAAACTATCTGTTACCACTTATTTCAGTACTTGCAGAGAATACCTTGCTGAAAACCATTTATCATTTCCTTCTGCTCCTCGTTGGGTTCGACACTCTTACTTATCGAAAGGACTACGATAGGTCCCCTATACTTGTGGGTCATCAAGAATTTTTTCTGGCGCCGTTGCCGGGGAGTGAAGCGCCTTTGGTAGGTGGAATTTGGTAAGGAAAAATTCATTTAGTGTGCTGAAATTTTCTGTCACTTGTTACCATGGAAA